TTAAACAACCATGACTCCATAACTTCTAACCTTCATGTTATAATTTAATATGCAAGGTCATAACGTCTTTAAGACCATGGAACTCTGAACTTGTAATGGCAACATATGAGAAGGTAATTAAACTCTGTGTGTGTGTGTGTGTGTGTTGCTCATTAAGAAAATGGGTTGCTGGTTTAATTTGGAGATGCCTTTGATAGTTGAGGACTGAATGGAAAATGAATGAAAATCTTTCAATATAATTGGAATTCTAGCGTGCACGTCCTTTTCCGTAAGCTAATTGTTTCAATTTCTTGAAATTTTGGTTGACCTAGTTGCTTTAAAAAGTCTGGCTACATGAGAGATGAATTAATATTGTTTTGCTTGAAAAGTGATGTAAGGAAACTTGACACAGGTTAAAAAAAGGCCGAATTTCTTTTAAGTTTTACATGCTCATACAATTTGATTGAGTAACTTTCCGATATACTATGGAATCATAAGTTGCATATCAATATTTAGTTCATTAGTTTACAATCTTTTTTTTTTTTTTTTGGTTTATCTTGTTGAATATAATGTGTAATTGAGTTTTGAGTTTGACACATGTTAGAAAAGGTCGAACACGTCCTTAAGCTTGCATGTTTAGTTCTAATTTACGATGAAATACTTTGATTCTGGAAATTTTGGTTCAATGTTGTGATGAATCTGTCCTGCATGTGCCGGCTAAATTGATTCTTGGATATTGCACTAGCTTTGTTTTTAAGAAATGTGATTACATGTTGGATATATATATATATATATATCCACATGAAAACCATATATATATGGTTTTCATGTGGATTCAACTGATGGTGAAAAGACTTATTTTTAGTTGAAATTGTTCCATAGGATGAAGTTAAGTTTTGGCTGAACCAGGAGACAATTTTGTTAATTAAAAAGGGTTGTTGAAATTCATTATATATGCTTGTAATTGGTTGGACAATACACTGGAACATGTTTGAATTCCTTTTTTTTTTTTTTATTACAATGTTGTGTTGGATACTAGAGTTGCTTATAGTTGGATTGGACTACCTTTGGAAAATTAGCTGATTTGAGTTTTCTTTTAAAAAAAATGTTTGAAATTAAAGGTGTTCCTTAAACTGATTTTTTCTTCTTCTTTGTCATTGTCCCAAGTGGTTTGTGGAAATTTTAGAAATTTTACTCTGTTTGTGTATTGATTAGCTCTCATGGTGGCTCAACCATACACTTTTGATTTCTTCATCATTTTCATTGTCCCAAGTTCTTTGTGGACTAATCTGTTTGGGTCTGACATTCATTAGTTTATAATTTGGTTGAAGGTTAATGTAAAATTCTATTTCAAGTCATAGCAATTCCAAAGATGAGGGTCAACATCTTGGAGATCCTCAACTTTTTTTGCATTACAGGAAGCAACAATATACCATCTTGGTCACCAAGGACAACTCCCATACTGATCAAATTTTGCTCTATGTATATTTAATCAAAATTATGACAATGACAATGATGTTTTTCCCCCAACCTTTTGTTATATCCCTTTTCAAAGCTGTTTATTTTAATTGTGCATTATTGAAGAGATTTGTATTGAATTCCCAAATTTCTTTTGCGTTCTATTGAGTAAAATACATTGTGATTTTGCAATCTGGATTGTTATTGGATTTAAATTGACAGGATTAATGTAATATAATATAAATATTACTTTAGTTTGCAACACTTGCAGGGACAAAATGGTAATTTCATTTGTCAAAATTTCAAATTCTCAACGGTTAATTCATTACAAACATTACGGGTAAATTCGCCATTTAATTTTCACACATTGTTGGGGATATGACAATAATTTCATAATTAAAAAGTGGGGTATATAGGTAATTGATTTTATTGACTTGACATATAATAATAAAAAAAATTTAAAATCAAACGATCAAGGGTATTTTCGTATTTACAATGAATGTCATTGTTTTTAACAGAATCTATTAATGGAATATGTTGTTTGGATATTAATGTAATATCTTAAAAGTATGAGGGTAAGAAAGCGTAATTACACCATTTTTCGAGTGGGAAAAGTCATTAACTCGTATGTTAAACTCTAAACCTCTTCAAAAACTGGACTCTGTCACTCAAATACACACCATAGCCCATCAAGTAAAGAAATGTTCCAGTGTAAAAGAACTAGAATGTGTTTATGCCACCATGCTCAAGACCAATGCAAGCCAAGACTGTTTCCTCATAAACCAATTTATCGGATGTTGTACTTCTGTGTTTCACCGAATAGATCTTGCAGTTTTAGCCTTTACCCAGATGCAAGAACCCAAAATTTTTGTGTACAATGCAGTTATCAGGGGCTTCGTTCATTGTGGCTACCCAGTTCAAGCTCTAGAAGTTTATGTTCATATGTTAAGGGCTAAAGTTTTCCCCACAAGTTATACTTTTCCATTGTTGATAAAAGCGTGTACGTCGTTGTTGGGTTTCTGTATTAGAGAAGTTGTGCATGGGCAAATCTGGAAGAATGGGTTCAATTCTCATGTGTTTGTCCAGACTGCTTTGATTGATTTTTACTCGAATTCGAATAAAATCTCTGATTCGAGAAGAGTGTTTGATGAAATTCCTGAGAGAGATGTCTTCGCATGGACTACGATGGTTTCAGTTCATCTACAGGTTGGGGATTTGTGCTCTGCAAGGAGATTGTTTGATAAGATGTCTGAAAGGAACATTCCCACGTGGAATACAATGATTGATGGGTATGTAAGACTGGGAAATGTGGGGGTTGCTGAATTCCTATTTAATGAAATGCCGCCGAGGGATAGAATTTCATGGACGATTATGATCACTTGTTATTCTTAGAACAAGCAGTTTAGAGAAGCTTTAGATATGTTTAATAAGATGAAAAAGAGTGGGATTAGTCCTGACTCTTTTTAGGGAAGAAGATGAACTATTTAAGGATAGATTGATCTCGGTGAAGAGAATTACGGCTCTGATACCAACTGTTGGATTACAAGCCGGAGAATACAAAGAAAAAATGCACGAAAAAGTTCTTCTTTTTTCATTAATTCAAACATTGATTATATACAACCTAGACACATCATTGATTGTGCCTTTTAACATGCTTATTCTACAGAGCATTAAATGTTATCCCTAGGTTGTAAACATATTTAACACGCTAAACCACATTTACACGTTGTCAGGATATTGAGTCAAACATTCTTAACCACTTTGACATCTAACAGTCTTATCCATAATGACAGCTGAACCCTATAGGGAAATTGACCGTCCTCTGACATTCAACAATGATGGTTCTGACCTTCCTTCTGACAAGTCATTGCATGCTTCTGATCACAATCTCGTTAGGTCGCTTGGACACTTTCCTATATTACAACACACGCTTAGAGAACGTTTGCTTCACATTGTAGCTTTACTCATCTAGCTCATCTGGTTGCTAGTTTCAAGTCGCAAGCCTATCAAGTTGCTCGTCACATGTTTCCAGAAAGATATCATTCACGTTAACATAAGCAAAATTCCTTATTTATGAGACACGTATCTCCCGATTGCCACCATACTTGGTTTTGTGGATAGTATTCAAGGCTTTATTAGCCTTCATTTGATGCTAAGGATGCGTCAAGAAATTCAGGAATAACGGTTATATCAAACATAAGCAATAATATGTCATTATACCAGTATCTGGTGAAATTCATAAAAAGTTATCATAGTTTCATATTTGAAATCACACATATGTAACTCAGTTTTATGTGGGTTGAGAGCTAATCAGTGAGTCAATGAAGTAGATGTTTCAACTGGGGGGAGGCAGTATATATGAGTTACATCTAAGGCTCTAGTGTCTAGGGTTTTCTGAACCTCACTTGATTGTAGAAGTCCCCAAACATTTACGAGATGTTCCTCAAGGCAATAATCAATAGGTTGGTGTGATCTTTTGGTATCGAACATTAAATACTTTATGCAGGCATTGTTACTTAATCATTTAAATTGAAGCCTTGTATTGGGTAGGTTATCGAAAATGACGAGTTCAAAAGTGTGATGCATAGAGCGCTTGGTAGTCATAAGTGTTGGAAATTGAGTTTATGCTCCGTGTTTCTCCCTTCCAATTATACAGAGAAGTAAACCATCGTAGATGTTTTTCGTATTATACATCAAAAGACATTGAGCTCCAATGGTTTCGAGTTCTTATGTTAGGGAATGGGAGGGACACCTTGAGATTAATTTTTTATATTCATTTTAATATATTTATTATTCCCCAAAGTGTATTCATATTTTGAAAGTGTTGTAGGATAATTGATGAGCTCCAAATTCTTCACGATAATCACCGGGCCGGGTTGATGTGCCCAATTTGAAGGAATCATTGGTAGCAAAAATTGAAGACCTGAACTACCGTTAGGTGGTCGAGTGGTCAACTAAGATTTTTAGATATATTATTAAAGAAGTCTTAAGTTCGGTTTATCTCGACTGTTTATAGGAAATGAGCAAGGCATGAGTTGCCATTTAGTCCTTTGGACCTAAAATAGGCAATATATTCAGCAAAATGGGTTCCTCTGTGTATCGGTGGATGGCCAAACTGAGCAAAGCATGAGTTAATCACATGGTCATCCATTATTATTATTATTTTGTATAGTATTAATTACTGTTTAAAGTAGTTAAATAAAAAACTAATTTTCTGCACTCGTTTTTAGGGGAAAATTTTTTTCAGTTGACAACGTCAACGCGTTCTCATTTTGACAAACATCTATTAAAGGCTTTGTAAATTGGCTAGGTTTTACTGTAGAGTGTTAATATGTTAGAAATATAACCTATCAAAACCCCAGTTCAGTAAACTAAATGTTCAAAAAAGTCTTCAGTCTACTTTCATATCCTGCCAGTGCCACGCGTGATAACTCGACTCTCGCTGTTGGACCAAATCTATGTAAATCCTGGATGATAATGACTACAAAGATCAGACCAAAAAGCTTATTGGAGTCTATAAACAGTAAACCATTGCTCCCCTAATCCAAATTTGACATAATTTTATTAATTTGCTGGTCTCCAAATGATCTGACTCTTGTTTCATGATTAATCCAATCGCCAACTAACCTGAGTTTTCATCAAGCCACTCTGTTGCTTATGCTTCTTCGTCTCTGAACAACCACCCCGGGTATTGGCAAGATGGAAGTCATTTCTCACGCTGAAAAAACTGCTGTCAATGATGGCTTAGAATATGATCATGTCAAAGAAGTGGATGACTTCAATGAAACAAAAGCTGGAGTGAAAGGCCTTGTTGACTCTGGCGTGGTCAAGCTGCCAAGAGTCTTCATCCATCCGCCGGACAACGTGCCAAAGTCATCATCCAACGCTCATGCTCCAGTGGTCGATCTAAAATGCTTTGAAAGAAGTGATCGAAGACCTGAGATTGTGAAAGCCATACATGATGCAGCGAAAACATGGGGTTTCTTTCAGATGATAAACCATGGAGTTCCAGATGAAGTTATGGATAAGCTGTTAGCCTGTATATATGAGTTCCACGAGCAACCATATGAAGTGAAGTTCAAGTATTACACACATGATAGGAGCCAACCAGTGAGATGTTACAGTAATGAATTTCTCAACAAATCAAAACCAGGGAACTGAAGAGACACCTTATTATGTGTGTATTTTGATGAACAGTTGGACACAGAAGCCTTGCCTATTGTTTGCAGGTAATTATAGAGATTTATATTAAAAAATGAATAAAAGAACCTAATTAATCCAGGATATGCAACCCAGTTTATGGAGCTTTGTTTTTGCAGAGAGCCAATCGGTGAGTTCATGGAGTTCATGTTTCAACTAAAGAAGACATTATATGAGTTACTATCTGAGGCTCTAGGTATAAGCAGTGAGTATCTAGAAAGCATTGAGTGCATAAAAACTGCGTCTCTTGGGTGTAACTATTACCACGTATGCCCTGAGCCAAACTTAACTCTAGGAGTCGCCAACCATTCAGATCCTTCCTTTTTAACCATACTTTTGCAGGACAATATTGGTGGCCTTCAAATTCTTCGTTATAATCACTGGGTTGATGCGCCCCATTTGCAGGGATCTCTGCTAGCAAACGTAGGAGACATTTTGCAGGTACGCTTTATTATTAATGAAATAGCATAGCAAGTAAGCATATGATATTCTAAAATTGAAGCCTAAAAGTGTTGTTAATTACTTTGGTATGTGTTTTTGTAGCTGATCAGCAATGATAAGTTCAAAAGTGTGATGCATAGAGTGGTGGCCGGAAGCGTTGGAAATCGGGTTTCAGCTTCATGTTTCTTCCTTCCAGTTACTAGTAACAGAGACAAAACATTTGGACCAGTGAAAGAGCTGCTATCTGAAGTCAATCCTCCCATATACAGGGAAATAAGCTATTCTGAATATATTGCCCATTTTAAATCAAAAGGCCATGATGTTACCTCAACCCTGAATGGTTTCCAGCTCTGATTCCCGAGATGGAATTTAAAGCAAAGATTAATAAAACTTATGACCGTGCCACATAGATTTCAAGTTGAAACCTTTTGGCACTGGCTATGGTTTGTACTTTGTACTAGCTTCAAGCATTTGAGAGACTCTGTTTTTGTAAATTTCTAAATTTGGTCTTTGTTTAAGTGTTAAAGAAACAATATCTATTAGTAGTAGTAACCTAATCCGTGTCTCTGTATAGGATCTTCAGCTTAGAGCGTGCTTCATAAGTAAATGCCCTGCTATGATTCTGGGTAATTTCTGGAGTAATTGCTATTTTCCCCTTAGTTCTCCCTAAATGATTTGTTTTTCTTTTGTGGTCATAAATATTCAAAATAAATATATCATAAATAGCTTATTCTCATAAAGATTAAAAATATTCAAATCATCATAAAATTTTTTTAATTACAACCCTTATCAACGATGGGTCCACATTACAGAATTCAAGGCACATAAAACCATGGTTATCAGTATCCTATGATACCTGATACGTATCATCAGTGACAGATCTAGAAAATTTTTTTAGGGTGGGCCAAAATAAAAAATAATTATATATTAATATTTTTGTCCATTAATATTTTTGTTAGGATGGGCCAAAATCCAAAAATTATATATATTAATATTTTAAGAAAAAATTGAGAGTGGGCCATGGCCCACCCAGAAATGGGCTGGATCCGCCCCTGGTATCATATGATACGATTCGATACAGGTCACCAACAATACGTATCAGAGAATGTATCATAAACCTTTCGATATGTTGATATGTATTATACAATATAATACGTATTCGTTCGTATCCTTAAAAATATCGATACGATTTTATTAATTTGGGCCAAAGGCCTAACAAAAATTTCGGGTCGGAACCAAGTCACCCAACCTGGTTCACTAAAACCTACCCAAATTTATTCATTTTGAATGAAAAAAGTGAAGAGGAACATGTGTTGCCCGTTTTGCATGATAATAATAATAATACAAGTGGAGATATAGATATTGACATTGATCTTGGAAATGATATGAATGATTGAGATAAAATAATATAGATTCTTAATTTTGTGATTAATTTTGATTATGTAATATCATAATTTAAAGTCTATAATATCACAAAATTCTTTAATTAATCTTATGATGATATTAATTTTTAGAAAATTTTAATTATTTTATTTATTTTTTGAAAAAGATATATCTTACGATATGATATGTGATATACAGTTCAAAAAAATTAGGTTTTCGATACACGATAGATTAAGCCATTTGACAACCATGCATAAAACTATTAATCAAGTTACAATGACCCTTTAAGTTTTGGTGCTATTAGACGATCACGATATCATCCTGTTATTTGCCAGTTGCCGCAATAAAGCAAATGACTGTATATACGAGAACAATAACGAATTTTAACCGTTTGTTAACACCAAAACCTCTTCAAAAACCTGAATCTTTCGCTCAAATACACACCATAGCCAATCAAGTAAAGAAATGTTCCGGTGTAAAAGAACTAGAATGTGTTTATGCCACCATGCTTAAGACCAACGCAAGCCAAGACTGTTTCCTCATAAACCAATTTATCAGTTGTTGTACTTCTGTGTTTCACCGAACAGATCTTGCAGTTTTAGCCTTTACCCAGATGCAGGAACCCAATGTTTTTGTGTACAATGCAGTTATCAGAGGCTTCGTTCATTGTGGCTGCCCAGTTCAAGCTCTAGAAGTTTATATTCATATGTTAAGGGCTAAAGTTTTTCCCACAAGTTATACTTTTCCATCGTTGATAAAAGCTTGTACTTCATTGTTGGGTCTCTGTATTGGAGAAGCTGTGCATGGGCAAATCTGGAAGAATGGGTTCGATTCTCATGTGTTTGTCCAGACTGCTTTGATTGATTTTTACTCGACTTCGAATACAATCCTAATTCAGAAGAGTGATTTGATGAATATGGCCTGTGAGAGAGATGTTATGCGCACTACGATGGTTTCAGTCATCTGCGGTGTGGAGATTTGTGCTCTGAAGGAATGTTTGATGAATGTTATAAATCGGACACATTCCCACGTGAATCACATGATTGATGTATGCAAGACTGGGAAATGTGGGGGCAGCTATTGCTATTTAATGAAATGCCTGCGAGGGATACATTTCATGGACGATTATGATCACTTGTATTCTCAAACAGCAGTTTAGAGAAGCTTTAGATAGTTTTAATAAGTAAAGAGAGTGGATTAGTCCTGACGGAGTTACTATACTACTGTTATATCGGCTTGCGCCCATCTTGAGCGCTTGACTTAAAGGAAGATCTTATTTATTGCAGAATGTTTGATGTTGACGCTTATATAGGGTCCGCATTGATTGATATGTATCAAAGTGTGGAGCTTAGATAGGTCCCTTTTAGTGTTCTTCAAATTGAAAGAGAAAAATCTCTTCTGTTGGAGTTCAGTAATAGAGGTCTTGCGGTCCATGTTTTTTCAAATGAAGCACTGCAATGCTTGGTAGGATGGAGAGGGAAAAATAAACCGAATGTGTTTACTTTTATTAGTGTTTTAAGTGCTTGTACTCATGCTGGCTTGTTGAAGAAGGCCGTCGAGGTTTCAGACATGATCAATGAATATTCCATAGCTCCTGAAGCTGAGCACTATGGATGCATGGTTGGTCTGTGGGCAAAGCTGGTTGCTGAGAAGAGGCATTAGAACTAATAAGACATGAAATTTCAACAAATGCAGTATCTGGGGTGCCCTGTTGGGTGGGTGCAAGCTTCATAGGACACTGGAGATGTCTCATCTTGCGGTTAGGAATTAACAATTCTGGAGCCAAACAATAGTGGGTATTACATGCTTTTGCTTAACATGTATGCTGATTGAATAGATGGGCTGAGGTCATGAAAATAAGGTGGCCATGAAGGAACTAGGGCAAAAGATGTCCTGGTTCAAGCTGGGTTGAAATTGAAGGAAAATAATCAGTTCGCTGCATCTGATCAATCTCACCTAGCCTCTATAGGATTTTCTCGTTGTTGGTTGAATAGATGGACACTGAAGCTAGCTGTTATGTACCGACCTCGGGTCTATATTATAGCATTACCTGCACTGAATCCAGGTTTTTCTTTTCTTGCATGATTGAGGCCTTGATTTCCTGTGTCTGACAGTCAGAATACATGAAGATGATTGCAGAAAAAACATAGCTAGGTTGTTGATGCTTTCTGCTATGATACGCGTGAATAAATTTAGTATGTTTCTTATACAGATGTCTTCCGCTGACGCTGAGGATGTCATGAGAACATCAGAGATAAATTTATTAATTGAATGGTATAATAGTTGCTCATAGCCAATAGTTGCTGAACCATAGTTTAACTTGATGAAATAAGGGCAACGTATATATTATTTATTAACGCACGAACTCATATCTTGGAACTAGCAATTTGCAAATTATTGGCTATGTTTGATGACATAAGATAATGGGACTCTGCTCTGATATTTAAATAATAGCTACTATAATACATCTCTGCAGGTATTGAAGTTGGAGTGCTTGATTTAGTTAAAGGAACATGTTGTGTGATAAATGGATTTCATATTGACGTTTATGCGGAGGTCTGCTGTGCGTGATGTATGTGCTGAGTGTGGAATCTAGAGTGCAATTAAGCTCTTGCCAAGAATAGTGGCGATCTCGGCAAAGGAGAGCAGAAAAGATCAAAAGCCAATGCGTTTCGTCTCACTAGTGGTCATAGCAAGCACTATTTAAAGTTTGTCGAACAAGGCTGATGGGGTCTCTGACCAATATTCCGTATCTTTTCATTGTCAGTTTAGACACGTTGGCTCTCGTTGATCTAATGAATTTCTTGAAGATTGCACCGAACTACGTCTGACAGTCTCAGAGCCATCAAATTTCTAGCAGGTAAATTACAGGGGTGTCTTGTTGGTCGGTAACTGGGTATAAAGTTTGATGTGGTAGGAGCCATCAAAATCTGCTGTGGCACACATTTATCATTTGCAGCGTCTTATCCATCTCACCATGCATCTTATGGCTGCGTTTGTTTCAGTTTTGGAAACTACTTTTATATTCTCAAAAGTTAAACGTAAATAAAACTCAGAAACTCAGGGCTCCGTTTGGTTCAAATTTGGGTTTTTTAAAAGGGTGGAATTGTATTTTTTTTTTTTTTATAATTTTTAATGGTGGAAGGTTATTGGGTTGTTATTTGGGTTTTTTTTGTTTGAGTTTTTTGGTTTTGGTTCTGTTTAAATTTTGAATTTTGTTAATTTATTTGGAAAAGATTTTTTGCACAAACGTTAAAAAAGTTTGAAAGTTGGGTGTGAGTTACGATGTAAGAGGGTTTATCAATCCTAAAATACCCTTTACTCGATATGTTTTTTTCAAATACCACCCTGCTCATAAAAAACAATTAAAAGTTCCAAAACATCCCCCTAACCCAAACCCCAAACACCCCCAGCCGGCTACCACCGGGACCGAGAGTGTAGCGCCGGAGTCAGCCGTTGGACAGCATGACAACCGAGGGGACAGGGGGGGTTGGATCTATTCCGGTCATGGGGCAGTCGCTATGAAGATCCATTTTCCGACCAGAGCCAACGGTGGATCTGTCCCGGAAAAGTGAAGAAAGAAAGGGAAAAAGGGAAAAGAAAAAAAAAAAAAAGGGAAAAAAAAGGGAGGAAAGTGGGGAAGGGGAGGGGGGGGGAATGAAGAAAAAAAAAAAGGAAAAGGAAGAAAAAAACAGGGGACAAAAAAAAAGGAAAAAAGAGGAAAGGGGGGAAAGGAAAAAGGGAAAAGGGAGGGAAGAGGGGACGGAAAAAAAAAAGGGAAGGGGGGGAGGAGAAAGGGGGGAAAAGGAAAAAAAAAAGGGAGGAAGGGAAAAAGGGAAGGAAAAAAGAAGGAGAAAAAAAAAAAAGAAAGAAAGAAGAAGAAAAAAAAAAAGAAAAAGAGACAAAAAAAAAAAAAAAAGAAAGAAAGGGAAAAAAAGGGGAAAAAAAAGAAAAAACGGGGAAAAGGGGGGGGAAAAAAGGGGAAGGAAGAAAGAAAAAAAAGGGAAAAAAAGAAAGGAGAAAAGGGGGGGAGGAAAAAAGGAGAACGGGGAAAGAAGACGGGGGGGGGGGGCAGAAAGGAGGGGGTGAAAAAAAAAAAAAAAAAAAAAGAGGGAGAGAAAAAGAAGAGGAGGAGAACAAAAGAGGGAAGAGAGGGGAAAAGGAGGGGGGGAGGGAAGGAACAAAGAAGGGGAAAAGAAAAGAAGGGGGGGGGGGAGGAGGGGAA